GGGACTTCGTCATTCGTTCCTGAGCTCCCATCCTGAGGAGGGGGCCAGGTGGTGACCATCCAGGGCAGGGAGGGCGGTGGCAGAGGAGACCAGGGACCGTGGGAACCAGGAGCAGAGGCCCTGACCAGCCTGAGTCACTTGAGGAAACCGTCCAGGAGGTGGTGGAGGAGGAGGAAGAGGAGGGAAGGGAGGGGGAACCAAATTCTGCCCGTGGCCGGAAGTAAGAGAGGCAGGCAGGGGAGGGGACACGGCAGGCCTGGAAGAAACTGGAGAACGATGTCCCCGCAAAAGGAGTCATCTTCCACCGCCCAGAGGCTGAGCCCTGACACGTTCTGGCAGCTGTGCAGAGCTTGCCAGTGTTTGGATTTACCCGGCAGGCTATGGGGCACTCCCAGGGGTGCAGCAGGGCTGTGTGGCCATCGAGCCGGGTCACCCCGTGAGCCCACTGCAGAGCTGGGTTCTGGCCACTGAGGCCCAGGGCTCCCTGGGTGGGAGGCTGGCTCTGCTAACAGAGTGCCTCGGGGTGTCTCGGGTCTCCTCTGATTGACCCAGACTCCGCGGGGCCCTGAGCGCATCTGTCATTTGTACAAGCAGGGTGAGGAAAGACTGGCAGTGCCGTGTGGAAAGGTCCAGGGCACGGAATGCCGGGGGCTCCTATGGGGGCTGACCCTGGTGTCCAGTGTGAAGCCTGCAGGAAGCCTGGAGGTATAGACAGCGTGAGCAGTGTCTGAGGGTCTCGGAGATAAATCTGGGTGGCCAGGGGTCTCAGCTGGTGCTGGTGGGTCGGCCTCCAGCGGGGGGCGAGAGGAAGGGCCCTGCGGGGGCAGTGGTCGAGGCAGCAGGGTGCAGGGAGATTGGCGTAGGGCAGGCGCTGTGGGAGAGACAGGCCGGTCGTGAGCCAGTTTCTTCTTGCTTATCCTAACTCACCAGGAAACGCTGGGCACTTGCACCTCAGCCTTCCTGTCCCAGTGACCTCGGGGCTTTTGGCCTGAGGCCCACTGGGGTCAGCGCAGCAGGAAAGTGAGGCCAGTTGAGTGGAGCCGTGGGGAGAGGGAGTCTCAGGAGGTGCCGTCGGGGCCTTTGTGGCCAGAGTGGCCAGAATGCAGGGAGCAGAGGGACGCAGCCACATCCAGACAGGGGAGAGGGGCAAGTGTCCAGGCGGATAAAGGCCTCTGAGGAAGTGCCAGGGCTGGGCAGTCCCTGGGGACCCGGGGTCCCACACAGGCGCCACAGAATGAGTGGAGTAGCTGGGGTGGGGCAGCCCTTCCGGCCGGCACTGACCCACCCTCCGGGGGCAGCAGGGCCAACCTGGGGTTGGTGGAATAGGGCTGGCAGGATGCCTGAGGCCAGCAGTGAGGGAATGAGGTCGGGGCGAGGCCGAGAGCGAGTGGCTTGTCTCACAGCTGCCACCAGAGGAGCCGGGTTTTATCTGTATGAGACGGAGGCCTTGTGGCAGGGAGGAGGCCGGAGTTGGGTTCGAGAGGCAGTTCCGCCTGCCGGCTGGAGGAGGGATTGCTGGGGACGAGGAGGGTGGGAGCCAGGAGGCTGGAGAGGAGGCCTCTGCCACGACCCCGAGGAGAGCTGGTAGAGGCCGGGCATCAGGCGGGCTTCTGACCTGAGCCAAACTGGGCAGACAGAGACGGAGAAGCAGGGATGGGGGAGGGCGATCGAGTTCTGGGCCCGCCAGGCACTGAGGCTGCGAAGGCGGGCTCTCGCTCGGGCAAGGCGCCGAGGGGGTGCAGGCTTCCTCATGCTAGCCCCCCTTTGCCTGCAGTGACATCATCAACAGTCCGAAGCTGGCCGGGGAGCTGCAGAGACTCAACCTTGGGAGCCTCCTGCCCCCCAGGCAGATCCGGCTGCTGGAGGCCACGTTCCTGTCCAATGAGATGGTGAGTCCAGCGCCAGGGTGGGGGCGGTGGGGGGGG